GGGAGCGGGGACAAATGGTCAATGAAAGCCGGGAAAATGCGACCCTGGGGACCCTGTGCTTGGCCCTGGATGTGATAGGACTGCTGAGGTCGTAGGCGAGAAAGCGTTCCTGTTTGCTACCCCTGGTCACCCGCCAGAGCGCACATTGCGGGCGAGGGTATGCACCTCGCAGCCTTTTGCTCTTAATCAGAACAGGAAACAAACGCACTGGGCACCTTTCCTGTCAATGCTCCCGGTTCACACTATTTTCCGTTAACGTAGTTCAGCAAAGAAACCCAGGTAGCAGCTGTCAGGAACGTATCACCTTCAGCTGCTTAAATTGAGCGACTACCGACATTTATTTGTTGTGTAACCCGCCGCCTCCGTACAGCACGTACACTAAAATGGTCTTTGATAGTTTAATAAAGCGGTTATGAACGTCCTCGGGGGTCCGTTGAAGCAGATGCAGGACAAAACCGTTTACCGCAAACACTGTAAAACCGGCTTTCACTGAGATTTACGGTACCATTATAACGCAGCTACACATCTCCCGCCCCCCCCAAGCCGCCTTCCGAAAAGAAACAGGACAGGTAAACACTCCCTTTAGCATCAGCTCTTTTGCTGAAAAGGTGGGTGGCTCTTAAAAGAGCCTTTGGGTGGAAATTATCCGACAGAGGACGCAGAAAGCGCCTATTTGGAGCTGGTGTACTTGGTGACAGCCTTGGTGCCCTCGGACACGGCGTGCTTGGCCAGCTCGCCGGGCAGCAGCAGCCGCACGGCCGTCTGGATCTCCCGCGACGTGATGGTGGAGCGCTTGTTGTAGTGCGCCAGGCGCGACGCCTCGCCGGCGATGCGCTCGAAGATGTCGTTCACGAAGGAGTTCATGATGCCCATGGCCTTGGACGAGATGCCCGTGTCGGGGTGCACCTGCTTCAGCACCTTGTACACGTAGATGGAGTAGCTCTCCTTGCGACTCTTGCGTCGTTTCTTGTCGCCTTTTTTCTGCGTCTTGGTCACCGCCTTCTTGGAGCCCTTCTTGGGCGCGGGGGCGGACTTAGCCGGCTCGGGCATGACAGCGAACGCTCTCACTGCAACCGCACCAACGACTTCTCTGACAGAGAACTGAACACTCCTCTGCGCGCCCGCATTTATAGGGCGGTTATGCAAATTAGGGTTTCCCGCATGCTAAACTGTTATTGGCTGAGGCAAGTTTTTGTAGCGTTGGCGCTACGGCGTGCACTACCATTGGTCAAATCTAGATCCGTTTAGCTATTGGCTGCTTCAGTCTCGTTCCTGTCTCAGCCAATCGAAAGTCGCGCCTTCCGCTGAAAAGGCATATAAGGCCGAGCTCGGAAGTTGGGCGCATTGTGTGCGGCTGCTGACGCGAGTTCCGTTGGTGCAACGATGTCCGGGCGCGGGAAGCAGGGCGGGAAGGCGCGCGCCAAGGCCAAGTCGCGCTCGTCGCGGGCCGGGCTGCAGTTCCCCGTGGGCCGCGTGCACCGGCTGCTGCGCAAGGGCAACTACGCGGAGCGCGTGGGCGCCGGCGCCCCGGTGTACCTGGCGGCCGTGCTGGAGTACCTGACGGCCGAGATCCTGGAGCTGGCGGGCAACGCGGCCCGCGACAACAAGAAGACGCGCATCATCCCCCGCCACCTGCAGCTCGCCATCCGCAACGACGAGGAGCTCAACAAGCTGCTGGGCAAGGTGACCATCGCGCAGGGTGGCGTGCTGCCCAACATCCAGGCCGTGCTGCTGCCCAAGAAGACCGACAGCCACAAGGCTAAAGCCAAGTGAGCACCGAACAACCAAGGCTGCAGACTTTCAGCAAGAGAAACCCAAAGGCTCTTTTAAGAGCCACCTACAATTTCAGAAAAAGAGCTTGGATTTCATTAAGGTGACAGAAACGTATGACGGTTTTTAAAATACTTGCCTAACAATTTAACAAGCAATTCGAGACGGAGCTCCTTGCACACAAATCACCAGTCTCACACCGCCTTCCTTCGCTCTGGGGCGGGGCTGAAGCGGTCCCAGGAAGCAGCTCAGCCCTTCCGCAACCAGTCCCTGAGCCCTGTGGGCATTTTGAAAGCCACCAAGGAGCTGCTCCCCACCCCTACCAATTCAAGTGCTCCTCGAGCTGTTCCCGGACTCAAACAGCACATTGACGAGCAGATAGCCGTTTCCCCCATACACCTCCCTGCTTAAACCGCCCTAAAACAGCGGCAGCCACAGCATTTCAGCTCATTTAAGAAAGAGTGGGTGGCTCTTAACAGAGCCGTTGGGTTTAACTGCGGAGCAAGGCTTCCTCAGGGAGGAGCTTACTTCTTCTTGGGAGCCGCCTTCTTTGCCTTGGCAGCTTTCGGCTTGGCTGATTTGGGCTTCACCACCTTTGCTTTAGCCGGGCTCTTTGCTGCTACCACCGCTTTCTTGGGCTTGACAGCCTTTGTCACCTTCTTGCTACTCTTGGCTGCTTTCCTGGCTGCCGGCTTAACTTTCTTGGGGTTCTTCTTAGCTGTCACCGCCTTCTTGGCGGCGCTGGCAGGCTTCTTTGCCACCGGCTTCTTGGGCTTGGTTGCTGTAGTTTTTTCCTTCATAGGAGCCTTTTCTTTTGCTTCCCCGGGTTTCTTGCTGAGGCGGAAGGAGCCGGAGGCGCCGGTGCCCTTGGTCTGCACCAGGGTGCCCTTGCTGACGAGGCTCTTGAGCCCCAGCTTGATGCGGCTGTTGTTCTTCTCCACATCGTAGCCGCCGGCAGCCAGCGCCTTCTTGAGCGCGGCGAGGGAGAGCCCCTTGCGCTCCTTGGAGGCGGACACGGCCTTGGTGATGAGCTCGGTGACGCTGGGCCCCGCGGGCTTGCGGGCTTTCGAGCCGCTCGCCGCCTTCTTCGGCTTCTTGGCGGGGGCTTTGGCCGGGGCCGGGGCGCTCTCGGCCATGGCAGCTCCGAGCAGCAGCGGCCCCTCCGTGCCCCCTTTTATAGACGCGCGGCGGGCGCGGATTTGCTCCGCCCGCTGCCCCGCCTCGCCCCCTGCCCCGCGCTCCGCCTTGTAAAATAGAATGGGGTTTTTCCTGCTTTATCTGTCACGAAATCGTCCTTTTCCTACATCTGTGAGGCCGCTTGAGCGGCTGTTTTTCGCCTGTTGGTGTCTTGTCGTGAAGAATTGTTTTTGAGTAGCTAGGGGACAAGAACTCCCGAGTTCTGCCACCTAACGGACCTCGAAAACTTTTCTTTGTAAATTAGAAATTCTCCTTTAAAGTTAAGCGAGTCAGAAAACTTAGTATTAATCTCCAGAGGGTCGATTTTACCTTAGATATGAAAGCAAACAGTTAGACTCCCATTCTTTAAAATAAAACGGTTTCAAAGAGACTGAACAGCACAAAGCTGTGCTGTGTCTTCTCCTACCGGGGTTTATATCTCTGGCTACTGTGGAAGACTCAGGCATATTTTTCTCCTGTACTTCCAAACATAAAGTTTCCAGACGTTCTGCATTTCTATGCATGAAGTATTAGACAGCATATACTTTATCCCTCTCAGAATGGACTGCCCGCTTTGAAACACTTTCCTATTGTTAACTCAGTGAAAGGCACCCCAATATCAGTGGAAAAATTTGGGACCTAAAGACCAAAGATTAAAAATTTTGTGTTAGACCACAGAGCTTCATGGAAGTCTCTAGTGCACAAACAGATCACACTATAAATAAATCACACAGTGCTAAATCTGTAAAATCCACCCATATCTCTTGTGAACGTGGGGAAAAAAAATTGACAGAGGTTGATTCTGCAAAGGATGTGAGAGAACCATTCTATTCATATTTTGATCTGTAGCTGGAAAGAAAAATACAATTTTTGTTCACTGTTCTTTTGCTGTGTTACAGATCATGTCACAGCAGTTTCTGTACATAAAAGCTTTGGCTGCAGCATAAAGTGAAGCAATGCTCTTTGTACACCAGAGATCATTACTCTAGTCACGCTCAAACTTATTTGATACGTGTAGTAGTACATATTTCCCTGCAATTCAGACATAAAAAAAGAACAGATAGGAAGGATCCTTACTTGGAGGAATTCTCCTTCCCTCCCTCTTATGCATTTACCATCGCAATTACAGTTAGCTTTGAGGTGAAATCAAGAACAGCAGGATCTCAATGGTATTCCAGGCTGTCAGTCTCTACATGCACTGTCAGTATGGACAGAGATCTCTGGTAGAGTAACAAGAATCTGCCAGCAAATCCTACAGAACAATTTATTTTTTGCAGGTGCTATCAATGTGAGCCAGCTCAGACTGCAAGAGATCAGATCTGAAAGCCCCTTAGAGCACTTCCCAGACAGCATGGAAAGTATAGATTACTATAACCAGTAACAAACATCAATTAACTTGCAAAAATAAATAGTAATACAAACCAAACTTAGTGCCTGCTGGCAAGCTAAAAAAAAATTGCAACATCAGGGTAGCTTTCCAATTACTGCATGTTCTTTTCAATTATTGCACGTCCCTTTTGTGATATTTGGCTTTAGGGAACAAAGCTGAGCAGCCACCATAGATGACATTACAACTCCTAGGAAGAGGACCTTACAAAGGTCCAGTGTTCAGCTGTTTGTACTCATACTGAGGAAAATTCTTCTTGAACTCTTTCTCCTATTCTTCCCCTTCTTTATGGCTTTTCTTCATGAACACCTAACTGCACTGCATTTCACATTGCCATGACTTTCCCAAACATGTGAAGCCCATCTCTGTTTTGGAGATAGGAGAACTGAGAGACACAATTCTTAAAAATACAGTTGCTTGGATCCTCCTATATTAGTCTGATTCATGTTTTCTACCCTTCTTCTGAGGCTCAGCTATAGGTATTAATTCTCAGCATTTTCTGGCAGCAGAAAAAATGGTTCAGAGATGATTCATCTAATTTCATACAGAAAGAAACCAAAACCAAATGCCAAAACATGTTCAAAATGCAATTAATTCCTCTACTCATTTTAACTTTCAATTTGGCACAGCTCCCTGCTATACACACACACAGGCAAGGCCAAGAAGTCAGTCTGCAGGTGGGATCAGGATCAGGCCTGGAGAGGGGCTTTGGGCTCAGCCCCAGCTCCAGGCATTGGGTACCTCCCTGGGGCAATGGGACCATGGCCAGGTTGTGGGGAACTTGAGACAGGCCCTATTTCTGTGTTGCTGTGGGGCTGATGGGTCCAGGATGGCTGGAATGGGCTCCTGGGATCAGAACAGGGTTGGGGGAGCCCCAGGAAATGTTGGGCAGGGACAGGTAGGGCTGGTGGTGCCTTGACAGTACCCCTCCTTGGTGAAGCAGGAACTGTAAAAGGCTCTCAAAGCTCTCTAGGTCCAGACAACAGGGAGCACTTTTGGCCAAGTTGCATGCAGGTGTTTAATTACAGTCCTAGTGGAGAGAAAAGCAGATTTCAGTTATAAGGAAACTCTACTGCCACTTGTACTTATCATTGACATCGGATGTAGTCACCAGGTTTAGGTTCAGGATGGCTGGAAACAAACAGTTCCTGCACCTCACTTTGGTGATTCCCAACTCTTTTGCCATCAAGCACGTAAATGTGGGAATGGCTTGGCTGACCTTTTATAGGGCCCAGAGCAGTCAGTTGCATCTGAAATACCCTTTCACCTTCATTTCAGCATCCTCACAAGGAAACCTCTCAAGAGGCTTTGGACTAAGAGCAGCCAGCTTCAGTTTCCAAAAGGTCCTTCTAAAATAATAGCATTTCCATCTCATGCAACAGTCACAAAACCCAAAGGGGACAGTAGAAAGAGCAGTTTGTTCCACCTTTCAGCTGCTATCTGGAGAAAATCCCGACCCACAGTTTTGGTTTGAGTGGCAATGTACAACCCTCCCTACCAGCTCCTGATGGGGACTTGCATCTTTTCCCATCCCACTCTGAACCGTGACATTCACACCACTTAGGCAGATTTATTTCCTCTGAGGCACCTGGTCTTAAACTTCTGGCTGACAGCAGCCCTTGGGGTTTACCTGCTCCCCATTGGTGCCCACCCTGGTCAAGCAGAGAACAACAACCTGCAACTCTCCCACTTTCTGCAGAGAAGCCAGGAAGATGAGCTACCACCTCATAAAAACAAGCTCATAGTGGCTCAGAAGAGGTGGTCAAGAATCCTTGAGGGAGAAGAGGTTGGCCCCTGTCAACCTGGAGGGTGAGGATTGAAGATGACATTCCCTGCACTTTTCCAAGCGGACGCTGGGATGCAGAGCCAGCAGAGGAAAGGAGCAATTTGAACAGATGTCTGGCAGCTGAAATGCTGCCCTGAGCTAAGAGCAAAAACAGCTGCTGGTATCACTGCACCTGTGAAGACAGGGGAAACACGTGAATTTGGGCAAGCAGACATCTTCAGAGAAGAGCTAGAGGAGGAGGAATAAGTCTGGTGGGTTGTTTCGCTACCTTCTTTTTCAACATATGTAAGGTCTGTTATATAAAGTGCTAAGTTGTTAGATCCTGAATATATCCGTGTCTCTTGTTCCTTTTCCACTAACTCTTCTGGCAGTTTTGAACTGATGAACAGATTCCAAGATGTTTTTTTTTTTTAAATTACCAGCATGAAGCAATATTCTTTCCTTATTACTGACATCTATTCAAATAAGGATTCCTATGACAGCTGTCTAATCACTTCCATATTAATAATCTAAAAAAAACAAACAAACAAAAACAAACAAACAAAAAAAATCCACAAAAAAAAAAAAGAGGGATAAAAAAACCCCAGCATCTTGTTCCAGAAGCCTTACAAGGGAAAGAATTTTTTTGGCTTACAGAAACCTTTTATTTTCCAAGAAATAGAGAAGAATGGAGTATGATATACCCTTAAACATGGAAAAGTCTCAACCACCAATCTTGAAAAGGGCCAGAACAAGGGAATTTAAAATCATGACCTGATCAGTATTGTAAAAGCTGTGTCAGGTCAGAGGATAGCTTCAGGAAGCAAACACTCATCTGAAACTAAGGCCACCTACATTCACTGTTTGCTCTGCCCAGGAGACAATGAGAAAACTATTGGCTTCCTCCCTGCCTCTGTTTCCCTGCATATCAGGTGAGAACAGGAACCTCCAAAGTTCATTGAAAATGTTGTAGAACAGCAAGGAAGTGAATTGTCTATAGCTCCATGTTGAAATTCAGAGGTCCTGGATCCAAACTGATGTGAATTTTGAGTATACATCAGGAAATGCATCAGCCACTGTATGCTTCCCAAAATAGAAAAGGTGGTAAGAAGTAGGCAGCCTGGTTATTAATGCCTACTTGCAATCTACTGTGCTGTGGAGGAAAAGATTCCTACTGGGGAGCAGGTTTTAGGGAAAGAGACTACTGTTTTCTAGACTCCCTCATGACCCATCACTGTGAGAAGACCTGCCCACAGAATGACAGAAGGAAATGTTTCAGGTGCAATTATTGGTGCACACTAAAGCTGAAGGAAGAAGGATGCTCATTTTCAGACATCACTGTAAAGAGGCACAAAGTACAGCAATGTGTTTGCTTTTTGAAGTCAAATACAGTTCCCTGACTGCACCAGATTCAAGCAGGGGCTGACAGGAAGAGAACATATTCACCCTTTCTGCCCACTTCCAGTTCTCCAAGTGTGCAGAGCTGCTTCAAGAATGAAAACATTTTTCTAGAGCTATACCAACTCACTGCAAAATGCTGTCATCTGATCCGAACAATCATTAGATGTCTGATGTGCTGCAAATAAAAAATAATACCCAGCCTAGAGGGGAGCCCTAGGATACTGCAAGAGATATTAGTCAAAATCTGATCTTGGTATCAAGAATGCAATTTGTCCTTAAAGGCAGAGTTCACAAACACTCTTGAAAGCAGGTTTGTCAAATACAGAAACTTGATTAATGATGGAATAAAGGCCATCCCAACACCATACATCTCCTGCTGAGCACTGAGTTAAGTATGGAAGCAAGCAGTGGAACCTGTATGACAAACATTTGGGAGGTACAGAAGGCCACACTGCATGCTCATAGCCAG